ATTCCTATTAAAACAATGTATCAAGCACTTAATGCAAATTTACAATATTGGTTAAGCTAAGAGAAAACAATAATGAAGAAAAGTTTGTCTTCATACAAGGTAATAAATGACATTGGATTTCAAATGAAACTGCAGTAACTGTGACGCTAGCGTGGAGTCCAGAAGCTGTGATTAACACAAGCATCCAAGATGGCTGAGATGCAACTGTTTACAGAAAAATAGCCTTAGGTTTTCCTCAGCCTCTACACATTAGGAATAATAACTGAAAAGTAACATAATTGTGTTACAGAGACAGAGCAGAAAATTGAGCACTCAGAACAGGAAAGTCACACTACACAAACAGAACATATTAACCCATGACAGGAAGAAGAGATGGGATTGGTGGCACAGGCCTGAAATGCCAACAGTCCAGAAATACAAGTAGGAGAGTCAGAGATTCAAGACCATCCTTGATTACTGTGCTGGCTTTCTTGGTTGTCAACTTGACTTCATCTGGAATGAACTACAAATCAGAAATGGAGGGCACCTGTGAGAGATCTTTGGCTTGGTTTGAAATGGATAAATCCATTTCTAGCCTGGACCTTTGAGGCAGGAAGACACACACCTGGGACCCAGATCTTAAAGTGGGATGACCTGTCTTTAATCTGGGCCATACCTTCTGCTGGAAGTCTATAATTTATAGCACATTAAAAGGAGGAAGCTTTTGGCCGGGCGGTGGTGGCGCACGCCTTTAATCCCAGCACTCGGGAGGCAGAGGCAGGCGGATCTTTGTGCGTTCGAGGCCAGGCTGGACCGATAGCCTCCGAAACAATACAGAGAAACCCTGTCTCGTAAAAACCAAAAAAAAAAAAAAAAAAAAAAGGAGGAAGCTTTTGATCTTTGTCTGCTTGCTCTTGCCTTGCTAGAACATCCATTCCTTCGCTGGCACTGGAGCCTGCTTCTTTGGGAATCCAACATATACTGAAGAGCAGCTGAGCCATCCAGTCTTATGGACTGAGCAACTACTGGACTCTTGGATTGTCCATTCACTGCCAGCAATGTATTATTGAATTAGTTGGACTGAGGCTGTAAGTCATTCCAATAAATCATAAACACACACACACATACACAGAAAGAGTGAGAGATGTGTGTGTGTGTGTGAGAGAGAGAGAGAGAGAGAGAGAGAGAGAGAGAGAGAGAGAGATTGATTCATTCTATAAATTCTGTTACTGTAGAGAACCCTGAATGATACAACTATATGGGAGTTCAAGGCTGGTCTAGGCTACATGATACATGTCCTACCATGAAGATTGGGTCAGTAGACACACACACACACACACACACACACACACACACACACACACACACAAAGGAGAGTGGCAGCTGGGCAGTGGTGGCGCACGCCTTTAATCCCAGCACTCGGGAGGCAGAGGCAGGTGGATCTCTGTGAGTTTGAGGCCAGCCTGGTCTACAAGAGCTAGATCCAGGACAGCCTCAAAAGCCACAGAAAAACCCTGTCTTGAAACACGCCCCCCCCCATAAAAAGCAGAGTGGCTGGAGCTTTCAGGACAGAGACAAAATTGAACACAGGGATTCTGGAGCTATGATAAGGGGAAAGAAACATCCAAAACAATGCAGAGGGAACTGTGTCCAGCCCTTATATGGCAACAAAACAGGGCCTGGTCCTACCATCCAGGTGGGAAAACTCTGCCCAGTACACAGTAGTCAGGAAGGCCTTACTCAAAGCATGTAGTGAGTAGTTCTTTGACTCACCAAACAAATCACAGATACAAAATTCTAAACATTCAAACTGGCCAAGTAATTTAAATGAACTCCAGAACAAAGCTCAATATTTTTAGAGTATTTATAGAAAGTACAAAAATATCCAAACCCAAAATAGTAATATTCACAATGTCTGGCACACATATAAGCAGAAAAGCACAATGAGTAATGAGAAAAATAATCAAACAAAACCAAAATAAATTTAGAATTATGAAACACATTTAAAAGCTATTCTATAGATTTTTATTAAATAGTTAGCCAAGCAGTGACATAGACAATTAAAAAAACTCAAATAAAAATTTGATAGTGTGCCAGGCATTGGGGCGCATGCCTTTAATCCCAGCACTCAGGAGGCAGAGGCAGGTGGATCTCTGTGAGTTTGAGGCCAGCCTGGTCTACAGACTGAGTTCCAGGCCAAACTCCAAAGCAATACAGAGAAACCCTGTCTCGAAAAGCCAAAAAAAAAAAAAAGCCGGGCGTTGGTGGCGCACACCTTTAATCCCAGCACTCGGGAGGCAGAGACAGGCGGATCTCTGTGAGTTCAAGGTCAGCCTGGTCTACAGAGCTAGTTACAGGACAGTCTCCAAAACAATACAGAGAAACCCTGTCTCGAAAAACCAAAAAAAAAAAAAAATCAATAGGGTTTTTTTGGGGTTTGGTTTGTTTTGTTTGAAACAGGATATCAACTAAGCAGGGTGTCAACTGGCTTACCTGAAATTTACTATGTAGATGAGGATGGCTTTAAACTCAGAGCGATCCATCTGCCTCTGTCTCCTGAGCTCAGAGATTAAAGGTGTATGCCACCATGCCCATCATCAAATCAAAATTTGAAAGATAAGTATTACGTATTGGTTTAAAAAAAACAAGTGGGATTAATTAGTAGAGGAGTATGTTGCAAAAGACAAGATAAATGAGGGACTGGAGAGTTCTCAAAGTGCTTAAGAGTGCCTGCAGCTCTTGTAATGGACTTAAGTTTGTCTAACAGCACCCATGCTGGGCAGTTCACAAACCCGTTACTCTAGCTCCAAACAATCTGATTTCCTCTGTCTCTACTGGCATTGAACGCATGTTGTATACAGATAAAATAAATCTCAAAAAAAAAGATGAATGAGCTTCCAAAATCACACTCACACACACACACACACACACACACACACACACACACACACACACACACACACACGAGAGAGGGGGGAGGGAGGAGGGAGGGAGGGAGGGAGGGAGGGAGGGAGGGAGGGAGGGAGGGAGAGAGAGAGAGAGAGAGAGAGAGAGAGAGAGAGAGAGAGAGAGAGAGAGAGAGAGAGAGAGAGAGAGAGAGAGAGAGAGAGAGAACACGCACAGATGCACAGGTTTGGGGTTTCCCCAGGTGGTTTTCTGTCTTGCTTTGGTCCAGTATTTCCTCACTATACTCCCTTTCCTATTTTTTGGAGCAGTAATGTATATCCTGTGCCACTGTATATTGGATGTATGTGATCTACTTTTTTATTTTAATTTTATAGGGGAATATATATGAATAAAAGTGAAATTTAAGTATAACCAATTTACTCTCCTGAATTTAACAGCAACTTCCATTTGCATAGCCTCACTGCAAGAATAAAAGTCACCAGTCAGGTTATCAGTGTCAGGAGAGCTAGTTCAGGAGAAAGAAAGCAGACACTGACATTTCACAAAATGCTAAAATCACCTTGTATGCATGCTGAATCTAACAAACGTATGTGAACTAAGTGCCCAAATTTTGGAGACTCTCTAGCCTTTTTTAAAAACACAACGTATCCTTCACATAACCAAAGAAGAAACAGATGTGGTACAATCCCTTGGACAAAAACAAGAGCCCACCAAGCGTAAGCTCTGGAGTCTACCTCTGGCCTTGATCTTTCTTACCAATCTCCTACCTGTAGGAGATAATGATGTCCATATTATTCCTGTAACATTTTCTAAATTCAGCTTGGTGATACAGTTCAGTAAAGGGCTTGCCCAGCATACATGAAGCCCTGAGTTCCATCCCCAGCACTGCATGAATTGGTAGAGATTGGAGGACCAGAAGTTCAAAGTCATCCTGTAGCTAACAGGTGAGTCTGAAGCTAGCCTGGGAAATATGAGAGCCTGTCTCAAAACAGATAAAAATAAAGGACAAGAAAGAAATCTAAATGCTTTAAATTCACTAGGTGCTTACACTCTTAGTAGATGTACTTCCTGATACAAGCTACTAAAAAAAAAAAGCCAATTATTCTTATTTGCAAAAATACCTAAAAATCGCCAGGTGGTGGTGGCATACACCTTTAATCCCAGCACTAGGGAGGCAGAGGCAGGTGGATCTCTGTGAGTTTGAGACCAGCCTAGTCTACAAGAGCTAATTCCAGGCCAGCCTCCAAAGCCACAGAGAAACCTTGTCTCGAAAAAAAAAACAAAACAAACAAAACCAAACAAACAAAAAACCCTAAGAATCAAAAGTCACTGGGGCTGGAGAGATGGCTCAGAGGTTAAGAGCATGGACTGCTCTTCCAGAGGTCCTGAGTTCATTTCCCAGCAACCACATGGTGGCTCACAACCATCCATAATGAGATCTGGTGTCCTCTTCTGGCATGCAGATATACAAGGAGGCAGGATGTTGTATTCACAATAGATAACTAAATCTTTTTTTTTTTTTTTTTTTTTTTTTTTTTTTTTGGTTTTTCGAGACAGGGTTTCTCTGTATTGTTTTGGAGGCTATCAGTCCAGCCCAGCCTCGAACTCACAGAGATCCGCCTGCCTCTGCCTCCCGAGTGCTGGGACTAAAGGCGTGCGCCACCACCGCCCGGCAAATAAATCTTCTTTAAAAAAATCAAAAGTCACTGAATGTGAACGATGGACATTAAAGTCTGAGATCAGTGGAAAAAAGGCTTTTCACTGTAACTTGGGTTTGGACTGATCAACACACATAAATCATTATATGAATAACCACTGTGTATAAAAAGGGAAGGATAAAAAATAAACTGATAGCAAATGAACAAAAGTAACCTTGCCAATGAAAAACAAACACAAACATATACTTGTGTGTATCTTTTCTTTCTTGAGACACCGTCTGTCTGTCTCTCTCTATGGCCCTGACTAATATGCAACACTGCTTAAACCTAGTGGGCCTTGAACTCACAGAAGCTCACCTCTGCCTCCCGAGTGCTGGCCTGAGCCAACGTAAGTGGCACACTTCTGTATCTTTATCAATACAGGGCTAAAAAAGAAGAGACACTGTGTTTACTCACTTTGACAGAGACACTCCCCCAGCTTTTCCGATCATTTCTTCATGGTGCAAAACTGAATGGTTCCATGGAATATGGAGGAACTTTAAGAGTGTTCTCATCCACCGTTCAGGGTGTAAAACAAGCTGTTCATAGTGAACCAACATGCATTTTTTATAACCAACCTCCACACATTGGTTGTACATGGTTTCTATGGCCCGATTCCACTTGGTCAAACAGTCCCTGTAGCTGTTCAGGTCAAATCCAGCTATGGTAACTTTTCGAGAAATCATTGAATGTACTGATGCCCGACCATCTCGGACCATCAGAAGAAATTTGGCGTTGGGGAATAACCTAGCAAGGTAAGTCAAGGATTTCAGGGCAAAAGGATCTTTGTTACATAAATAAGGTGCTGGCTCCCCATGTTTAACAATGACCTCCAGAAGGAAGGCTTGCATGGCAGAATCCAGCACGTCATCAGTGACACCAGCCTCATCCAGACGGATCTTCTCTTTACTGGACCGGGACCACATCTGCTTCAGCGCAAGGATCCGAGGGATGACCCTGGTTTCCTCTCCACAGCGGATGTCAGGATGGGCATCCAGCATAGCCCTCATAAGTGTAGTTCCACTTCGAGGCACACCTCCGATAAATATTAAAGGCATATCTTTGTGATAGGTGAAGGTTTTGTTGGCTTTGATGTCCAGGCTTGTTCGCACAGTAGTCTTGGGGTTCTCCAGTCTAGCTGGCTGGCTACGTTCCTCTATCCGGTGGTGGCACTCCATGGCATGCTGGCCCAGGTAAAACACTGTCACAGAACTAATCACCAGACATGCCAAAAGTAAGTTCTGTTTCAGCTTTCCCACCATCTTGATGTGGTTATCTTCTTTTTAAACATATATTTTGTTCAAAATTATTGTCAAGAAACGTTCAGGCCATGGAGATTCTACTACAGAAAGATGGTCAGCATCTGGTAGAAAAACAAAGATTACCATCACATTATGACTGTTTACAAACCAGTCAGCAATGTTTTAGCCAGAAAGCAACAGGAGCAATCTGGATGCTTCACTACCTAAGATCCCCGAATGGGAAGAAAAACCAGCAGGAGAAGCGCAGTGGTGCAGGCCTGTAACCCAGCTACTCAGGAGGCTGAGGAAAGGGGACGGGGTTAAAGCCAGTCTACATTACAGAGTACATTAGAGGACAGAGTGGGCAACTTCCTAAGATCCTGTCTCAAAATAAAAGAGTGCTGGAACACAGCTTAGTGCGTGCCTAGCATGAAGACCCAGGGACAACCGCCAGAAGAGAGCCCCACCCCCTGAAACAAACAAACAAATTAAAAATGCTTATAATCTGAAACAGCTTTTTATGATTTAATAAATCTGAAGCTATGCACTTGATTCACAACAGAAAAAGATAACTATTTTTAATAGCAAATTTAGCAAATATTTAATACATTCCAACATGTATTCATTAAATGTTGGAATCCAACCTAATGTTGATTTGTATTCAAATTATCACACACACACACACACACACACACACACACACAGAGTCACACCAATTATAAAGCTTAATTCTATTACAAAGACAAATTACCTAAGCAGGAGTACAGAGTACAACTCAAATGTGCCTAACTGCCCTAGGGATTTCAACTTGCAGCCCCACAATCACTAAGCCAGTTCCTTAAAAATCAGACTTCTAACTGTCCCATCCTCCCCACTCCCAGATCTGTGTGTGTGTGTGTGTGTGTGCATGGGTCTTCTAAACACACCCTACTGGCTCCATTTCCCAGCAGGATGCTAACTAAAGCAGTAAAAATAAAAGTCTACATGGATAAATGATTGAATATGCTTGAGAAAAACTACATTCTAAGGGGCTGGGGACATGACTCAGCACTGGCTGCTCTTGTAGAGGACCTGGATTCAATTCTCAGCACCCGTATGGGGGCTAAAAATCATGTGTAACTCCTGTTTCAGAAGATCTTATGTCCTCTCCCAGCTTCCATGGGTACCAGGAACACATGTGATACACATGCATACATGCCGACAAAACACCCACACACATGAAATAAAAATCTTTAAAAAGTAAATCTTAGGGGAGCTGGAGAGATGGCTCAGAGGTTAAGAGCACTGCTTATTCTTCCAAAGGTCCTGAGTTCAATTCCCAGCAACCACATGGTGGCTCACAACCATCTGTAATGAGATCTGGTGCCCTCTTCCGGTGTGCAAGCATACCTGCAGGCAGAGCAATGTCTACATAATAAATAAATAAATCTTTAAAAAAAAAAAAAAGTAAATCTTAGAAGAAGAGGAGGAGCCGGGCGGTGGTGGTGCATGCCTTTAGTCCCAGCACTCGGGAGGCAGAGGCAGGCGGATCTCTGTGAGTTCAAGGCCGGGCTGGACTGACAGCCTCCAAAACAATACAGAGAAACCCTGTCTCGTAAAACCAAAAAAAAAAAAAAAAAAAAAAAAAGAAGAAGAAGAAGAAGAGGAGGAGGAGGAGGAAGAGAAGAAGACTATATTCTGAGAGTCAGGACTTCCAGCTCTGGCCCAGTGACAATGCAGCCAATCCTCCCCTCTCCCCCCAACCAATTATAAAGCTTAATTAACAATTGGGTCTCTCAGTGCTCTGGAAATCAAAGGAGTAAAACAACCTAAGAACATTTACAACTGAACACTGTAAAAGCTGGTTACTGCTAGCCTGGGCTATATAACTGAGTTCTAGGTCAGGCTGGACTAGTGGTATATCCTGCCTGAAAAAAATTAAAGGACAAGGGGAAAAGGAAAAAGAGAATGGGAAGGGAAGGAAGGGAACGCAAAGGGAAGAAGTAGATGTAAACAGCCTGGATTTGACAGCTCCCCTGCTCAAAGCCAGATGTACTAGTCTAAGAGCTCAATGGCTCAGGTGTCTAAGCCAAGCACTATTCAAACACTAGCTGACTTCTGGACCCTGAACTACACAGACAGAGAGAGGCTAACCCTAGACACTATGCTTAGAAAACAATTATAAGAACACATATACTTTACACAAGTACAGGTATACTTTCAAGTCATTCATAAGTATATATCGCAGCTGCCATTTAACTACCTAAAAAGTAACAACCACACACACATATACAGTCTATCCATATGGACAAGCTTACAGAGGGAGAACAGATTGAAGAAGCAAGAATTTAACTGCCAACAGGCCATAGGGGACTTTCTACAGATGAAAATTTCCTGACTGGCCTGCTGCCACAGTTGCACAAGTATAAATCTACTAAAATCACTGAATTGTACTCTAACAGTGGGTGAGTATTAAGACATACAGATCACACCTCAACACAGATGTTTTCTAAAAATGAATACACGACTAAAATATGTTTTAATAGTCTCAATGAGCTATACCAACCAAGATCTGGTTTTTGCTTATTCATATATTAATCCATTTTGATATAGCTGAGCACATACTATTCTGTCAGGCACTGCACAGAACTTCATTCAAGAATCCTGAAGAATAGGTTGAGATGAAAAGGTTGACTTAATTTTTAAAAAAAGACTACAAATAAAAAACATCAATTAAGATAACTGGTAGTAATACAGCATTAAAGAGTCTTAATACAAAATGGCATCCATTATATAGAAGGCACACTTAAGATATTACCTAGGGTTTAATTTAAAAGGGAGTGCAAGGGTAGAAAAAACAATGGCAAGAAGACCAAGTAACAGAAAACAGAGTAAGACACACCCCTGGAAAAGTAACATTCTGGTTGATGACATTAGAACTATATTATGGGGGGGGGGTGCTTCCCAAACCAGAAGAGGAGGGGACAGTCTATAGAGCTGAGGGTGTGCTTCACAGAAATGACAACAGCGTGACAACTTTAAACATGCAGGAAATAATTCAGCAGGACATCAAATCAAAAGAATATAAGAGGGGGCTGGAGAGTTGGCTCAGTGGATAAGAGCGCTGGTTGCTCTTCCAGAGACCCAGGATTCAATTCCCGGCACCCACTCGGCGGATCACAACTATCTGTTTAAGTCAAGTGGATCCGACTCCCTCACACAGACACACAGGTCAAACATCAAATGCACATTAAAAAAGCAAAAACAAAATCCAAGAACCAAAGGACCAAATAACCAGTTGGTGCCAGATGTCTCCACTCAACACCTGTCTTCCTCCTCCCCAGCACTGGGATTACAAGCATGCACCGCCATGCTTAGTGGTTTTTACATGGGTTCTAGGGGGTCAAATTTACATCCTTGTGCTTGCTAGGCAAGTACATTAATTACTAAATCAGTCTTTCTTTTAAAGTGGTACTTGGGGCCGGGCGTTGGTGGCGCATGCCTTTAATCCCAGCACTCGGGAGGCAGAGGCAGGTGGATCTCTGTGAGTTAGAGACCAGCCTGGTCTACAAGAGCTAGTTCCGGGACAGCCTCCAAAGCTACAGAGAAACCTTGTCTCGAAAACAAACAAACAAACAAACAAACAAACAAACAAAAAATAAAGTGGCACTTGGGGCTGGGGATGGGTTAGGAGGGGATTGATATGTAAAATAAAATTGCTTCTAGATAAAAATAAATAAATAGGTGGCACTTGGGCTAGGATTTGAAGAATGAGTAGGAGCGAGGCAGGTGAAGGGAAGGACATACCAAGCTCTAAGGCCCACGTGGAGAAGGCATTTGAACGCTGTCAAGAAGGAAAGGCCAGTGTAGTTACAAGGTCAGGAGCAAGAGGGCAAGTGAAGAAGAGATGAAACCAGGCAGGGGCTGGACTCCACACCTTACAGTATGAGTAAGGGATGGGAAATTGTACAAGATAATTACATGTAGTGAGTTTGAAGCCAGCCTGGTCTACACAGTGAGTTCCAGGACAGGCTCCAAAGCAATACAGAGAAACCCTGTCTCGAAAAACAAACAAACAAACAAACAAAAAACAAAAGCAAAAAATAATAATTAAATGTGATTTTAAGCAAGGAGTCACTGATCAAATTTAGGCTTATAAAATTTCATTCTAGCCAAACAACCTTGACAAAGAATAAAATTGGAAGACTCACACTTTGAAGTTTCAGAATTACAAAGCTATTAGAATGGTGTCAACCTAAAATGACTAACAGAAAGACAGACTGCCCAGAGCAATGAGTTTATTTGGAAATAGCAAGAGGCTGGACCCAGGATTTGTGTGCCATGACAGGGTGGGCATTCAAGGGAAACCTTTTAAAGATGGAATGCCAAGGAGATATTTCAATGGGCAAAATGCTTGCCTTGAAAGCAATACCACCACATTTCCATCCTCAGAACCCATGTTAAGGCGTGGGGGGAGTGTGTGTGTGTGTGTGTGTGTGTGTGTGTGGTATGTGTGGGGTGTGTGTGTCTAAACAGATAAAAGCCTCTGTCGTACAAACCTGACAACCTGAATTCAATTCCTTGAACCCACAGTAGAAGCAGAGAATTGACTTCCATTTTTTTTTTTACTTCTATATACACTTGTTTGTATATACAGGTGCACACGTGCACACACATGCACATAAGTTTAAAAAGCAGGGAGGTAGAAACAGTTCTGGTCAGTCTGTCTAACCTGCTTGGCCAACAAAAGGTGGACAGCACCAGAGGAATGACACTGGAGGTAGTCGTTTGGCCTCCCAACACGTGCACCAACACATGCATTGGACAGACAAAACCTGAGAGAGTGCTTGCCTAGTATGCATGAAGTCCTAGGATCCATCCCCAGCACCACATAAATCCAGGACAGAGGCACATGCCTGTAATCCCTGCACTTAGGAGGTGGAGGCAGGAAGATCAAGAGTTAAAAACCAGCCTTGCAGATGGGAAACCCCGATTTAAACAAACAAAAGTCACAGGACTGTGTAGACAAAAAAGGTCAGTAAGGTTTTTTTCCTTTTGGTTTTTCTTTAATGAAATTTAATGTGTGCATCACCACTGCCCAGCTTGATTCTTCTTTTTCAAACATTATTTTTACTATTAATTT